GCGCGCGCGCCCTGCCCCTCCCGGCCCAGCGCCCCCAGCCTCGCCCCTCCGCGCCCATTCCCTCTCATGCCCCTCCGGCCTCGAGGATGCGATCGCCGCCCAGCCCGCTCCCCGACCCCTAGGCAGCCCCCGAATCCCTCCCACCTGAACTGCCTGCCCCTCCAGTCTCTGCGCCCCCAATGCTTCACGGCCCCAAGCCGCTGCCCCTGGTGGGCCCGCTCGCGCGCCCCATCCCCAACCCGACCCCGACCTCCACCCTGCCCCCGCCCTACCTAGGGGCAAGGCGACTCCGCGGCTGCTGGGGCTGCCGGGCTCCTCTGACCATCCGGCTCCTGCTCCGCCGCGGGAGCTGCTCCGGCGGCCGCAGGGCTCGCTCGGGAAGCTGAGGCGGCGGAGGCTGGAGTAGGCGGAGAGGCGGGAGAAGGGCCTCGCGCCTCTGCCAGGCTTGCCGCCGGGCCCGCCTTCTCCGCGCCTTTCCTCCGCTCCCATTGGCTAGAGTCGTAGTGAGGCCGAAAGTCTGGTGATCGATTGGACGCTCGAGCTGTCAAATCCCGTCACCTAGAGTTTGGTTGAGACTGCAGGTGGCGGCAGAGGTGCCTTAGAGACTGCTAGCAAGGCAAGGGAAACCTAAGCGCCCCCGTGTGCTCGAAAGTAGAAACTGCAACTTCGGCGCCCGACACCTGCCGGCAGGTTCTGCTAGCTCTGCGTCCCGCATCCCACACACCTGCTGGCGCCCCCAACACTGCACCACGTCAGGACCAAAAGCCAAGCACTGCAATTTCCCAAACTCCTCCGGCAGGTGCAACAGCAACTCTCCAAAATGAGCTTCCTTTGGAACCACCTCGTACTCAGTCCCTATTTACTTAACGCTGAATGACATGCTCACACAGCTCACAGATATCCTTCATAGAGGATATAGCCAGAAAACTCTTAACAATCTACCAGAATAAAGCGTGGTTTAGATATTCAATACTCTGCAGAAAAGGCCCGCTTGGGCACAGGCTTCCAAGAAAGCAAGAGATATGTTTAATTGCCACGAAGGAAAAAACAACACTGAGAACAATTGATGCCATAACTAAAAGCAGTGCGTTCCACTTTGAAGGGCCTGAATAGAACTGATCCCTGAGTGTATGCTAATCGTCCTGGGATACTGCAGATGATTGTTAAGTTCTACGCCAGTTAATCAATTAAAATGAATTTCACTGCATTTTGGTTATTGACAGACTACCAGCACAGAAACACAGTTACCTTTCCACTTCTACTTTAACGAGGCGGTCCTTGAAAATGACATAGCTCATAAACATATTACAAAATTATTCCTTCAGCCTCTCGATTCCTTGTGTTACACTTTTTGTTTGGTAGATCCTTGGCATCTATTCGAAGCTGGGAGGAGGCATAAAACTTTCTCTTAAGCTACTTCCATTTTATTAGAACGTATTTTTATACGTTAATAATGTGACACTAACAGGTTGGAGATAAATCTCTCACTAATCTTCACAAATGGCAAAAATGAGGATACTAGTGTTTCACAAAACCAATTTTATGGCTGCCTTTATGCAAAGATGGCTTTTTCTACATCTCTGATGTTAAAAATGACCTTCGTTGTATGAAACGATGGTAAATTATGAAGGGATTTTTTAAATGGCTATGACAAAAATGTCAAAAATCTGTTGCTTTCCTAAATTAATATTTTATGTAATCCCCAAATCACAGAACCACAAACCACTTCAATCCCAACCAACAGTATCCACCTGTATTATCAACATGCCAGAAAGGGTAAAGAACCCCAGAATAATCTCAGACAAGATCAGAAGAGGTGGGGTAGCAGTACTTCCGGATCGTCAACTCACTAGGAGTCTAATCTTGAAATAGCACTCGTTATGTTTCTTAAAATATGGATTAAAATTTTCTGTCTGGTTTCAAGGTCTTTCAATGCCTCTCTGATACATGGAAGATATTAGTAGAGCTGAGGCTAGTCATTTCTTATGCCTTCTCAAGAAGTACCCTCAAGTTGTATCTGAGTCATGTCCAAGTTCTAGTAACCTCTGTGGCTGTGCTTTTACTATATAAGAAATGCACATCCCATCAACCTAGTTCACATTTAATTCATATTTTCAGTTAAGCCTTCCCCAATTGCTTCATTCTACATCAAACATGTCTTCTCCAAATTTGTCTTACATAAGCTATGTCAGCAATTCCATATTGCCTTGGGTTATTCTTCCCAACTACATTGAATTTGGGCAAATGGTGTATCTTAGTAAGTACTCAATAAATAGTAGCTTTGGGCCAAGGACTGGGTGCTTCATGAGTGCTATTTTTTAATCGTTATCAAGCCTGTATGGCAGTCTCTTATTTTAGACACAAAATTTCAAGATTCAGAGAATCCAGCTAGCTCAGGGTCACACGCTACAACAACCACTACTGTTCAAAATTGCTTAAGGGAGCTTAAGACTTACTCTGGTATGCCCTACAGGGGTTCGAATTCAAGTCCTCCTGTGCAACCGTGGGCAAGTCACTACCCTCTTTAAGTCTGTTTTCTTGACTGAAGGAAAAAAACGGGTAATGGAGTCATAGAGACATAGTAAGGGTACCACAAGATAGGGCACGGATAGCATTTACTTAAGTGTGCTCAATACAGGTTAGATGCTATTACTGCTGGCACAGCCGGGGTTTTTACCTAGATCTGATCCCAAAGCCTGTATTCTTTCCACTATTCCATAATGCCTCCATACACTCCTTTCTATCCTACTCCCATTTACATACAAAAGCAGAGTGTTGAAAACATGGGTGCCCAGGGGTTAAGTGGCATATACTTATGTAATAAGTATTTTTGCTGACACATGCAAAAATAATCTTCATAAATTTCATGCATTTTTGAATTAAGAAAACATCTGAATGATCCAAGCCAGCATAAGCGTACCCTCATGAGGGTAAAAAAGGCACATATTCATCAACTGATTGACAAGGAAGTAGAAAACTAATGAGAGGAACGAGGAACCAACCTTCCCCAAGCAACTACTGTGTTTGGTCTCATGGCAGGAGACTTTCCAAATGCTTTTTGGTGTTTTACTACTGTATATTTTCTTAGCACGACTGCACATTGTAAGTACACAATTGAAAGAGTTGTGACAATCTCATGAAGCATGGTTCTGGGCACCGGATCCAAGATGTAACAGTGGATATTGCCTTTAAAGAACTGAACACTTAGTTCAGTCAAATGCAGAAGAAAAAGTTTCACTTCTGTTTACTAGTCAAGCAACCAAGTGAAGGAATAAGCATTTTTTTAATTTAAAATGTGTTATATATAATGCTAACTTATTGTTGGGACATACTACAGACTATGTATTACATAAAATTTTCTGACAAACTTCCTATAATATTTTTATTAATTTACACTGAGAGAATATAGCACCTTGCATCCAAAGAACTGAAGGTGCTTTACAAACATTAGCATTTAAAAAACAATTACATTTAAAAATCTGGATTCTTGCTGTTAAATCTCTTCGACTCCAGATACACAATTTTTGGAGGCTGAAGGAAAGCAATTCTATTTCTCACAATGAAAGAGGCTCAGAAAGAGTTTAGATTTGCTTTCATAATACAGGCATCTTCCAAAACCTGGTGCTGGGCTTACAAAGCAAAAATACACAAATCTTAATGCTGTCAACAATATTTCAAACCTTATTTCAAAAGCAAAATCCAGGGTTTAAGATGTCAAAATCTTCCAACAGTTCTAGATATCCAGATGCAGTAGGAGCTGATGCAGGTCGCATATTAGATGTGCTCTCGATCCAGGCTTTTTAGGATCACACCCAAACGAACACATTGAAAGTGGTGAGATTTTTCAGGAAAAAGCATGAACTATAAAAAGCTAGCCAAGAGCATATTAAGCAAAAAAGGAAAGGGAGTGATTGGCAATTAAAAATAGACAGTTCTCACTAGAGCCTAGGACACTTTATTAGAAACCAAGCATATCATATGCAAATAAAAATAGTTATTACCCCCATTAATACAACATAAGGGATTTTACATTCAGCCTAGACACAGGGAGTAACAGAGCCTCCTGCCTACAAACCTATAACTTGCAAGTATCCTCCACCACATGATTACTCTGTATAGTACATAGCCCTTATTTAGTAGAGGAATCCGAATATTCCTTTTAGGCTTACAAAGTCCAACACATTCACTCTCTCTTCCCTTTACATGTCTAATAGTAAAAACTATTTTTTTTTTTCATGCAAAAAGCCATCATTCAGTTTCAGAGAAAAAAATCAGGCAGAACAGAGATGGGAGTTAAGGAATGGACAGAATATTATTGGCACATGCCCAACTAGTGACAAACAAATGCAATACACCATGACTTAAAAATAAAAGTCACATTACAGGGATAACTAAAATAACTACATCGATCTAAGCTGGGGAGTGTCAAATGGAGAGGGCTGGGGGTTATCAGTTTTATTGGTACAACTTAAGAGCAAGCACTTAAATACAATTTATGGTAACAAAAAAATACTGCAGAGAGCTGTTCAAAGACCATACCAAGTTGTCTGCATCATTAATTTCCAGTGTTTCACAATTAGTAAAATACATAGCTACATATCCCTGCAAGATTAATACCTTTCCCCCTGAATTACACTGGGGTCAGGGCAGTGACACAAAGCTACTGACCCAACAGTTCAAGTGTGTGCAGCAAATGTCTTAGCCACTTCTTTCATATAGCTATACAATTAAAAACGATACGAGTAGCTGGGTGGTTAGGAAAAAGAAATCAAAACAGTATTGTGCTCATTTAATAAAAGAAAACCCTGATGAAAAATTATGTGCCAAGAAGTGTAGACTATAAAGATTTTTATTGCATTTTTAGGTTACCTGGAGTTCTTATCCTGAAGGGGAGAAGTTGGTTTTCAAAACTACCTGAACAGATGCTAAAGTGCTTTATTAATCAGCTGGCTTCACAAAGATTCCTAAAAAGACAAAACTTAATTGTGGTGGTAAAGGGATACCAACTATTTCACAAAATGGTAAGTTCCAACATCATTTGTGACCATAGTCATAAGAGATATTGGAACACCTGTCCTTATTAAGTGGACATTGCATATCAAGAATTGATCATCACAACCCTTTGGATATTTAAATTACTTACACAAAGCCAAAACATGGTATCACAGACCTTTACAAAAAAGGACAATTTGTTTCTTTCTACATTTTTTAAAACCTGCTTCAGATTACAGTTCACAAATACAAGAGTCCTGACTTTTCAACCTTTCCAGTTGCAGTTAAAAAATGAACACTTTCTTAAAAGTTAAGGTCAAGTGTTACAGCAAGAGAATGATTCCTATTGAAAAGTACATAGATTTTACTTAATGATATTCGTGATAGATTGTAAACTGGATTGATCACATTCTACTCAACTGGTGTCAAATGAACACATCAGCATTACAAGTA